TCTGTTCAAAACTTTACGACATACAGATAATTTTTCTTAAATATAATATCTCTTTTACTCGACTCAATAGATAAATTTCTATTAGATCTACAAATTTTATAAAGGACAAGATCAGTAAAACCATTTACATGTAGTATGGATCACATATTGTTTTCACCAACTCAATAAATTGGATAATTAGTTTAGATTGTACACGGCCTTCAAAGTAGAATTTTAAAGTGTGGAAAATCACTTAAATCTACCCTGTGCGTCGATCTATTTAACATTAATATTAACCATTAGATTTTCACACTGAAAAAAATACCGAAGCGTGAAATAAGAAAGAAATAATGATCATATGATCGTTTAAAATCAAAAAGGCTTTTTTTAAGCAAATAGACTCCTATATAAGATCTATATAGAATTGTAGATTTTTAAGCGAAATCCACAAAAAAATTTAAAAAAGAACGGCTTCTCCATGATCATATTTCGATAAATGTAACTTAACAAAACAATTTAAAACAAAATTTTAATATATGCATGCTACTCCCCAAGTTATTTAGATAATGCATGCCATTTAAACTCAATGATTAACGTAAATTTTCTGCACCCAAAACTTAACCTCGAGGGCGCACACAATCTAAATAGTGGAATTTTTGGGAATAATCATCAGAACTTTTTTTGTATCGATTATATGAAAACCATCGAAAGTACATATTTCCCAAATTTAAAAAAATACTCTCATCATTTTAAATAAAGTTTCTCAGATAATTCATTAATTCCTTATTTTAAGAGAATATTTGAACAGATATTACGACACGTAATAGTATCCGTTTAATTTTGAAAATAAAGCATGACAAAGGCAAAGTTTTAAATTGTTTTCTGTTCTGGAAATATTTTATCATTTGATTTTCATAAGCTTTCTGGGTTGATTTTAGATTTTAATTATATACGAAAACTTCGTTACTAAACATCCCTTCATATATTCGATATATCAATTAATTATCTTTTATGCTTACATATGCAAAAAAAGTTTATGAAAATATTAAAAGCTCTCTTCAACTAAAATTACAATTTATAACTTGATTTGCATTCATTTGTTAACTGAGGTTTCTAAGTTGGGGTAATTTGTCACTGGAAATGATTAGCTTTTAATTAACTTCAGTTTGTTTGCTTTGTCATAATATCAAATACATAACTTTTCTAAAACCCATATACAGTGTGTCCCCGGACGGGTTTCCTAATTAAAGCTGGCCGAGGTCACCTGGCCGACATATGACTCATATGTTTACATCATAGCATAATACTTGAATAAGTACAATAAATGGAAATAAATTTTAACAATAATGTTACATTTTATAAAAATTTGTATAAAACTCACCCTTTTAAGCTGATTTATGAAGTAGTTTGGTTGTCGTCATCATAAAGTGGGGAAGATATATAGTATAATAGCATCAGGTATGTTTCTACGGCTGTCTCCGTCAGCGATGTTCGCTTTGGTGAAAAAATATGTTTGTATTTTGAAAATGACCGTTCGACATCTACGGATGTAATACAGGCATAAGTAAAACAATCTGTGAACTCACTTAACGAAGTGCACCATCACAAATTTGTCCTAATTTGCTAAAATCAGGATCTTTCTGTAATACACTCTCGAATTTTTCACTAACGCGATTATTTTTTGCGTCATTTATAGCCTATAGCTGTGTATTTACGTCGTACACTATTTGCAGCGATTCCACTAACGACAACGAACTATTTTGCAATTTTTCTATTGCGTCGTGTAGTCCTCTATAATTGTTATTAATAGTTTTTAAATCTGTTTCAAGGGAAACGTCTTGAAAGCTTGTCTGGCTTTCCCTAATAGCTGCAGCCTCGTTAGGGTTGAACTGTAGTATCACAGATTTTATTTGTTGAAAATATTCAGCACAATAAAAAGCCGCTTTCAACCACGTTCCCCAACGTGTAAGAATAGCTCTGGTGGTTCAGGGATACCAGGACACTGTCTATGAAATGCTCGAAGCCGTTTAGGAGATTTGAGAAATACTTTTTTTGTATTTGCTATTAATGCATCTACCTCTGGAAAACATTTTCGAATCGTTTCTGCTACAAGATGGAACGCATGCACTTTACACGTAACATGTAAAAACCTACAATCGTCTCTTTGAAGAAACCGGCCCACAAAACGCATTGTCGCAGCACCGTTGGTCACAAACATCAACACTTGACTTGTTGACAGTTTAAATTTTTCGAAAGTCTCCAACACCACCCGCGTAATTGTTTCGCCAGTACACGCAGTTAGTCTTTTACTAGCTAGTAATAGTGGAAATGTTGGTTTAAGAGGGTCCAGTACACGTACTATAATATTTAAAATAGATTTTTTTTTACAATCTGTCGTCTCGTCAATACATAACCAGAGCCGTGTATTTTTTAATCCACATTTAATCCTATTTACAATGTCTTCACGAACAGCTAGAATATATCTACATAACGATGTACTTGGTAAGTTCACCTGGGGATTGTATTTATTCCAAAACTCCCGAAATGGTTTATCCAGTATGTGTAGCGGAATATTACAGGCTATTAACATTAACAATAAATCAAACATAAACTGAGTTGTCAAAGGCATGCCATTTTTTTTATTTTGATGTTGCACGGTGTTGATGACGACGACAATCTGTTTTATGCCAGCACATTAAGTCTTGATTACAAACTTTACAAATTATTTTACATCCGTCATAGGATAAATCCGGAAATTCACCGATAAATTTATTCACTGTGTCCGCGTACGGTCGTTTTTTACCCTTTGGCGCGTTTGACATTATGTATAATTTATAGGTACAACCTCACGCATTAACCTTTCAAATAAGACTGCAGCGTAAATCACTTCTAAATCGGCACGTGTGACGCCAGCGCAAGACCGTGGCTGTATTCCAGCCACCTCGGCCTGCTTTAGAATACTTGTAAATATTTTTATTTTCAAATTTACGAAAAAAGTCATTCTTTATAAAATATTTTGCTTATTTTGAAAATTCAAAAGCCGCAATCATATTCGAAAAATTATATAGAATGATCAAAAACTTAAAAAATTTGAACTTTGTTCTCAAGAGTAAACTACCAACATTTTTCTTTTTTAGAGAAAAATATCATGAACAATTGATGTTGGTAATCATAAAACCGATTTAAATTATTTATTTCGTCGAAAAAATGGGATGTCATTGAGGACCAATATTTTCAAGTTAATGCTAAAATGCTTTGTTATAGGAGGAGAAACCTTTATATTTTTCATTTTAAAGAAAAAATATATTCTTTATAAAAAATTTTACTCTCCTTCAAATGGCTTATACAATAGTGGAATATTAAATTTAACAAAATCTGTAGCAAACAAAAAGAAAAAAACATTTTAATTATTGGATAATGAACAACAATAGTTCATGACATTTTTCTCTAAAAAAAAATATTGGTGGTTTACTCTTGAACAAGTTTCATATTTTTAAGTTTTTGATCACCCTGTATAATTTTTCAAATATTTGATTACTGCATTTGAATTTTCAAAATAAGCAAAACTGTTTATAAACAATGAAGTCACAAAACTGCTGACAAAAATGTTTTATTTTATAGGGATTTTAAAAAGGAATCTAAACATATAATAATATACAGGGGGTACAGGTATCAAATAATTATGATTCCCTTTGTGCTTAAAAATCAACAAGAAGGAAGAGGACCATATGTGTAACCTTGGGACTTTTCACGTATGTCTTTCAAATAATCGACTCATCTTTCTTACTTGGCGCGTCTTCTTGAGGTCCCTCTTTGTTCAAGATACTGCGAGTTATGGTACAGCCAAAAGCCATGCACAAACTACTAGTGGTTTGTAAAGAAGATTTGAAAACACTATAAAGTTCTAATAGCTTAAAGAAGAATATGGTCGATAATTAATTCACAAGCACACAAAAAAAGTTGGCTGTTCTCTTGACTAGACCAACTTATCTTTATGTATCTTGACGTACTGAATTCGAATCCGGAGTCAGAATTGCGCCATCATCCTCCAGTTTTTTTTTAATTGTGGAAAACCACCCTTAAATTCCATAAATCCCACTGATGTGGTGCTAGCAATAGGTGTAATCTAGAAAACCGATTGGATGCGATTGGGAAACTATGTCTTCACGTATTGCGTATTGGATGCGCTGAATTCGAATCGAAAGTCGGAAGTGCTCCATCACCATTTAGAATTTTTTTCAAAAGCAAGTAACTGTATTACCGAAAATTGACAAGACTTAGTTATTCTGTGCCTATAGAGAGATGAAGAAGTGAGCGATGTTTTCTGCCACGTAAATATGTTCCACTTACTCCTTTTTTCTCTTGTAATGAACTCTCTTGTCTTCGAATGACCTACGCAGAGGTTTTCTCTTTCTTTTATTTTCATTCTGCTTGGTTTCCCTCTTTAGCGTCCAAGCGTCCAAAAGAAATCTGCCATCATGTTAATATCCCACCCTTCTTGTTATCGACTCTCCATTTCACTTATATCTTGATGAAATCTTTCTCCTTGTTCTTCGTTATAGTTCCCGACGTTTTCGAGAAAGTAGTCAAGGTGAGAGTGTAAAAAGTGCAATCTGAGATTCATCAAACAACCCAACTGTTTGAAAATGTTCAACAATTTTTCAACTAAATCCTGGTAATCCTCACTCTTCTCATTTCCCAAGAAATTCCAAGAAACCTTTTTGAAACTCAGTCATGCCGATTTTGAGTATCATTCATTTTTGTGATAAATTTTTCGTCCCGAAACAGGGTACGAATTTGAGGACCATTGAAGATACTAAACGGTGATGGAGCACTTCTGATTTCTGATTCAAATTCAGCGCATCTAAATAATAATAATAATAATAAACACCACAGATAATACAACCCCCTGTATCTCTAAACTGACGTTGTGCGAGAGGGGGCTACACATTTAGAGCCAACGGACACACATCCAATATCCGAGTATACTAGGATTAATCTCTCTTACAGAAAAATCCCAGTGCCGCGGCCGGGATTCGAACCCAGAACTTTAGGGTGAGAGTCAAGTGTCCTTGCCTCTAAACCATCAGTCATACTGAAATACTGAAATACGTAAAGACATAGTTTCCCAATCGCATCCAATCAGTTTTACGATTATACATAATGCTAGCACCCCATACAGACGAATTTTCCGAATTTAAGGGTGGTTTTTCACAATTAAAAGAAACTGTAGGGTGATGGTGCAATTCTGACTGCGATTTGAATTTAGCGCGTCAAAATAAATAAAGATAAGTGGGCCTAGTCAAAAAAACAGCCCACACTCCATACAGAGGAATTTTCCGAATTTAACGACGGCTTTCCACAATTAAAAAAAAACCATCACTCGTTACAATAAAACATTAGAGTTTTAATCCCAGGCCCATATTTATTTCTAGGTTTCTCGATTGCTCAAAATTCAAACAAATTCCGATCTAATTTTTTTTCAGGATATTTATAAAAATACATCTGACATGCTCTTTCACAGTTGCGATTACAGGTATAATAAATTCCGATCATATTACGCTTATTTTCATTTTCAACATTTGCCAAAATATATTTTGACTTTTAAAAAACACTAATTAGTTGTAATTATAAAGATTGCCGTGAATAATGTGTTAAGAAACAAACACATACTAAAGAACTGATAGTTACTGACAGTATTTATTTGAATTTATCTGACTTGAGTTATGGCCTGTTATTGAATATGCCCTTCTCAAATGAAGATAAATGTAATATGATCAAAATTTATTATACCTGTAATCGCAACTCTGAAAATGCGTGTGAAATGATTTGGATGAAGATCCTGAAAAAGAACAGCCTTATTGAACATTATTTCAAAAATTAGATCGGAATTTAACTAAATTTGGAGCATTCGAGAAACCTAGAAATAAATATGGAAACCGGATAAAGAAAATGAATTGGATAATAATGTAAGGAAATCTCAATTTCTCATTAAGTAGCCGTTTCAACAATATTTATTATCTTCTTCAGGACTACAATAAATATCAAACATTTTCTATACATATAATTGGCAAATCTAAGAGTTAATAATATACTTAAAAAATGTTCAAAAGATAAAAATGCTAACATTTTGAGAAAAATTTAAAATTTCATAAATTCCATAATTATTACATTTACATATATCTATAAAAAAAGTTAACAACAAATATAAGAACATTAAAAATTAATAATAACAACTACAATATTTAAAAACTTTTAAAAAAACTATCAGTCACGCTTACCTATTTGGTTTTTTGTCAGCACAATCGTCATCGTCAAATATTGTAAAAAAAAATAATAATTAAAATAGTGAACTTATATAGAATCCCAGAGCAAATATTTCAAGATTTGAACATTAATAAATATTTATCAAAGAAACTTTGAAAAAAGCATAATAAAAATTCGTTCTGTAAAAAACATTATTATTTATTCATATCTCATATCAGTTAAGAAGTCAGTGAAAAAAATAAGTTTCTAAATTAAATTTAAAATAAAGAATCAATTTGGTATTCATTTATGTATACAGAGATGGCTATATTTTTATATATTTTTCTATTAGGTTGTTATAATTTCTGCTAAAATTTTCGGTGTTCTTTTTTTTGACAGTATTATTCTGTTGATAAGTATCATTTCGCTTATTAACCGTTTTTTAGTAATTTTGCTCGGTGTCCAAAATTTTATTATCGAATTGAAAATCATGATTTAACACAAAATGGTGTTTCAAGAGCGGTTTTTTCTGTTTTGTTAATATGTCTTGAATTACACGTGTATTTATGTTCATTAATCCGAGTTTTAACAGGTGTTTTATTTGTCAAATATATACTGCCCCATAACTATAAGGAATTTTGTATACCAAATTTGATTCATACACAAACAATAATTTATCCTTCATTGTCGATTACATAAGGTTCCCACTTTTTTCATGTGAAAAAAAACTATATTAGAATATTCATTTGTCAACATTCATTTCATCTGTAGTGAAAGGCCTTGAACATAAGGTCGTTTGAAATATTTTTTATTATTATTATTAGCTAGTTGTAGATTTGTTTTGACAGTATTTCTGTTACTAAGTGTGGTGTTATAATAATTAAGTTGGCAAATTTATTAGGATAATCGTTTTGTCGCCGTTTTTGTTTAATAATTTCCATATTTTGATCGTGGAATTTATCATCACTTAATTTTTAAATTCGATTTTTCATATTTAACATAATATTAAATTTTTGTCTGAAGGAATGTTGAGAGTAGTAGTTGATAACTATTCCAGAACTAATGTCTTTCTCGTACATTTAAAAATGAACTTTATTTGTGTATATAAAATATTAGATGAAATTCACCCAGTTTTACCAAAAAAATCCTGCAGTGTTCTTAATGTTTTTAAATCCAAATAACTCAACAAGTATATAGTCACACATATAGGGTAAGACCAGAAATATTTAACAAATCACATGATTTATTTGTCTGCAAAGCTAACGAAGATATAAAAAGTGCCGGAGATGCCGCTCTCAATAACACCATTTAAATGAAATTGAATCTCGAATATTCGTCTTATTTAAATCGTTCTCAAATCAGTACATTAAAAACAAAACAGTAATGTTATATAAAGATCTTCGTAAACCGTAAAAATAATCTTATCATATATACATGGTATGTCTGCGAAACGGCACCCCTCACTTATTTCGGGGAGATATTTAAAATGTTGAGAATTGAAATTATTGGTAAAATACTCATAAAATTTAAATTTTTTTAACTTTTCGTGTGAAATGTGACAGCACAAGTATCCAACTTAATTTTTTTAAATGCTAATCGAAAAGAAAGTTGTCAAATATCAAATTAGTTCCTAAATTGTGTCCTTAAGACAGTGATATACTCATTTTGTACAAATTTGTAATTTTTCCGGTTGTTTGATTCCCTTAATTGTATTGTAGTTTTTCATTTTTTATTAAACAATTAATTGATTTTTGGACAATCGGTAACTTTATTACCACATTGCAATTTGGTTATTTATTAATTGTTTCAATTAATCCATGGCTATTTTGATGAATTTTTCACTGTACATTATACAGCTGTAGGGATTTAAATAAAATTGTGTTTTCTATTGAACAGCTTAAAATTCTGGTAAAAAGTAAACATTTGTACAAAATTGTATTAAGGACATAACTTAGGAACCTCTTTGATACTTAAAAGTTTTTCAATTACCATTATAAAAATTAAGTTGGGTACTCGTAACGTGACATTTGACACGAAAAATTAAATACTTTAAAACCATAGTATTTTAGCAATAGTTTCAATTCTCAAAATTTTAAATTTTCGCCTTCATCCCTTTTCAAAATAAGTGGGGGTACTGCTTCACGGACACACCATGTATGTTAAATATCTACAGTACACTACACAGAAAGAATATAACTAGATATTGTGCAACATTGACTGATTTATTTTCATGTTTAGTATAGAGTGTGGCGAACAATGGAAATAATTTATCGTAGAGTATGCTATTGTAGCGATATTTTATAGAACACAATGGAGAAAAGCCAGACTAAATAAAATATTTTTTTTCAGCTGACTTGCTTACAATCTATACGTAAACTAAAATCGTTCAACTGAAAATGGTGATAACTTTTAAAATATTACATACGGCTTTGATTTTTTAATTTTTAATTATTTTATTTTTTGGTTGATTTTTTTTCCATTACAGTATTTGTTGCAATTTTTTGAGATACTGAAATTAGGGGTAGGTTGTTTATATTTTAGATCACATTTTAACTCCCCACTAGCCCATAAAATTGGGGAGAATTATGTATGCACATATCATAATTAATCATATATCATAATTAAGTAAATAAATAAATTAATAAAATGACAATATTTTAACAGTTGTAAAACACATATAAATCGTCATTTACATAATATTACAAATGGTCACAAATACACAAATGAACAAAAACTATAATACAATGTATAAACATTTTAAGCTTATAAATATTTTGTAAGCAAATGGGCAAAAATTGTTTTATACAAGATGATTCATTAAGAATGTAAAATTTTGAAACTAGAGATATTAGAGACCAAAATATGACGATTGAGCCCAATATGCCTTAAGCAAATATTGCTGTTTTATATTGAAATTTCTCAATAATTTTGAAGGTTTTCATAGTATTAACTTGAAAATTGGCAACTCTACGTTTTTTGGCACGGCAAATAAGAATTTGCAATTAATTTTAGCGCTGATCATAGAGAGCGCTAGTTATACTCTATTGCTTTGATAAATCGAGGCACATATAATATACTTTACCAGCAATATTTGGATAATAAATTCTATTAGGCACAGGGACTACCTAAAAAAGAAGGTTAATAAAAAATTACTCACCTGAACTTAAGAAACAACATGCAGAATATAGAAATATGCTGAATAAATTAATCAGAGATGGCAAGAATCAATACTATAAAAATCAGCTTGCAGATACACAAGGAAATTGTAAAAAAATTTGGGAAATAGTAAATAGTGCCTCAAATTCGTCTGCAACACATAAACAAATTAAAAACATCAATATATTAAATGATGAAGGACTAGAAGTAACAAGTAATATAGTAAAGGCTAATGTTTTTAACGATTATTTTATAAATATTGGCACAAAAATGTCTGAAAGAATTGAAAAAATTGATAACCTGCCTAATAATATCTTAGAAAATGATTCCATGCTATCATCGATATTCCTTAAACCTGTAAAAGAAAATGAAATCATTGAAATAATTAGCAGTTTAAAAAATAACTCTTCAGCTGGACCAGACGGGATATCAGCTAAAGTAATAAAATCCATACAGTTATATATAATTATACCATTAGTACATTTAATTAATTTAACATTTAAAACTAGTCTAATACCATACCAATGGAAGGAGTCAAACGTTACCCCAGTGCATAAATCTGGTGATTACAAAAATCTAAACAACTACAGACCTATCTCAGTTATCAATAATTTTGCTAAAATATTCGAAAAATGCCTTAAAAACAGACTGGTGGAATTTTTTGAAAATCGTGATGTGATCACAAA